TATTCACTGTTTTTTGGATCACACTTCATAAAGACATGAAAGATGACTTCTAGAACTGCTTTAGAAATTGGCAAGAATTCCAGGATTCAAAGTGGGGGAAATATTTTAGGGAGATGAATGGCAGTGTGTTTTATTGTAATAAATTTTTAAAAATTTAAACATTCACCCGAGTATTTCAGTCATACTATGTACAGTGGTTGTAGCTTTGCTGATAGCCCAACAAGGGAGAAAATGTTTTTAAGTTGTGACTTTGCTATCATAAATAAAAACATCAGTTTAAAATACTCTAAATGCCTTTAAATTTTGGAAATCATAATTGGGAGGTATAAGATTTAGTATTAGCTGAGGTTGTTTCTTGGAATTTGCTTTAATTTTAGGCAAGTTTAAAATGCTGAATATAAGTGGAACACTTTTCTGTTTTTAAACTCAGACCTGGGGAATAGATATCAGTAACCTCATATTTGATATTGAAACATTTTTAATGGCATTTATTGTAATCCTTTAACATTAAAATAAGGAAGATTGTTAAATATATTCAGTTAGGCTGTTATAAATTTAGATTTTCCTCACACTATTTCTATCAGAATTTCCAATATATTTGAGTAGATATGGATTATGATACTTAAATTACTACTTTATGCTTTCTGTGGATTCATGATTTGAGAGAAAATGGACAAAGTGAGAAAAAATGCCTTTTGATTCTGATTCAGACTTAACGCCACAGTGAAACGGGATGCTTTCCTGGAAAGAACTTGTCCTTTGGTTAGCACTCCTCTTAATGTAGTATAGATTTTTAAAAGATTCAATTTGTAGCAAATTCCAAAAGCAAAGACATAGGTGTCTTTGGTGAACTTCACACCCCAGTGTTTCATCTCTGTCAATAATTCCGATGCACTGGATAAGTGGCTTGTCTATTAAAATATTGAATGATACAGAGTCTGTTATGAAACCTCAGAGATGTTGGTCTTTGATGAGCTCCACTGCAGAGTTTTGAAGATCCAACTTGTAATACAACTTCATGAAAACTGATCCAAACTTGTATTCTCCAGAAGTGACATTTCTGTTCTTTGCTTGGTACTTGGCCGGCTCCATCCATATCATCCCAAAACGGACACAAATGAAGCAAGGTTCTCTGCTCATTCTGCAAGATGAGTTTGTTCTGGGTCAGCTTGTCTTCCAGTTTTCTAAAACAGGTTTCTTTAGTACCAGAAAAATTATATACAACAGAAGTCCCTGGCACCAAAACTCCTTCTGAGAGCCAAAGTGCAGGAGCCCTATTGCCCTAGCTGCACCACCTGCTGGAACAGGGAGGGGAGTCAAGCATCAGTTTCACTCTGAGAGTGCCTAAGGGCCAAAGTACGGTTCTGGGTCAGTATGTTCATAATTCTTATGAATTTTTTTAAAATTTGGGAGGGAGGAAAAGAGAAGAAAAAAGATGTCTTCAACCCTTATTTTCTGGGAGAAAGATCTTCCCAGAAGCTTCTCGATTTTTTTTCTTTCTTTCTTTTCCTTTTTCTTTCGTCTAATTTCCAGTCATTAGCAGAGAGGAGTGAAATCTCCAGACTGGCTCAGAGTAATCAGAATTCTCCTCTATGGACCAGGAAGAGATTCAGTTCTTTTAACATACGATTTTACTCGCAGTTCCCAAGTAAAACTGAGTGCTCTTGGCCAAGAAGAAGAGGGTTTTCTTGCCATAGTTATCAACCTCTAGCTAATAGTATCTTTTGAACCATATGATTTTGACAAAAATGACTATATAATACATTCTAATAGCATGGAATATTATATAATATGAAATATATACATATTAAGAACAGTATATAAATACATGTCTTTAAAAATGCACGATGTAACACATTATACTTACATAATTGTTTCTCTAGGGGAACAAAGGCAGCACTAGGATTGAGAGTTCAACTATATATATTTAATTTTCAAGAGTAATAAAGCAAATACAGTCAATGATGTAGATATTTTTGTTATTATGTGAAAATAATAGAGTATATTTGTATAAGCAAAGATGGCTCCAACCGCACTAGGTGATGTATATACTCTTGTGGGACATGTACGCAGTTTGTTGTTAATTGAAATGTCATTATGCAATAGATGACTGTGTCTGAACCAAATTAAATCAATAGTGTAGTTCTTTGCCTCTTTGTAAAGCTTATTGTAGATAATGATAATATGTCACTTTTATGTAGTGATTGAGTGCAGGAGGAAATTAAAACAGGATGATTGTAAAAAAGGTGACAGAAAGGTATGTGTGCATGTCACTGGCTTTAAGTTGGTGATCAGTGAAAGTGTCCCTGAGTTTCTTTTTGGGCTGAGAATTGCATAACAGAAGGAGGTAGACTTTTGAACTTCTGGAGCTGAAGTTTTCAGACAGTTGCCGAACAAGTGCAAAATCCCCTGAGCTAGATCAAGTTTATCGTATTCAAAGAACACACAGTGAAAGAGTAAAACTCAGTAAGATTAGAGCGGTATCAGGCCTACTTGTACAGTCTTTTTCTTCCTGATCATAAAGATTTTATATTGATATTTACATGATAATTAAGATGTACTTATGACAATGAATAAAAAAAATAATTCCATAATCCCACTAGTCTTTTTTTCTGTTCTTTTAATTTTAAATATATACTTTCTCCTGTACTTTATTTTGTATATTTTTAATCTGAGACTGCTTAATCCAAACACTTTTCCTTGTTAAATTTTATACAACATCCTTTCTTTTCCTTTTATATTTGTGGAGTTTTTTTTGTTGTGACAAATAGGTCTAACAATTTAACATTTTGATAATTTTTAATTTAAATCAGCAATATCAAGTACATTCACAATATTCCACGCATCCCCTTTTTTTGGGGGGGGTACCAGGGATTGAACTCGGGTCCTTGTGCTTGTAAAGCAGGCCATCGAACTGCTGAGCTAAATCCCTGGCCCTCAGCATCCCTTTTAATACAAGATGATTTATGAAAAACTGTCATATTCTGAAAAAATGTCTCATTTCTTTGACATTTAGGTTGTTTCCATGGTTTCCATAAGTAATGCTATGATATTTTGCTGTGAAATCTTTGTTCAGCTATGAAAAATTCCTTGTGATATACATTTTGAAAAATGGTATTGGTAAGTCAGAGGGTGTGTTTAAGCTGATTCATGATAACTGCTACTGCTATATTTTTTTCCTAACATGGTACTAGTTTGCATTCACGTTATCAGTGTTTGCACATCTCCTTCACTGCCTTCTCCCTAAATACCAACCACTTCTATATTTTCAATCTAAAAGTTGTAATAAAAAGTAAACACAGCTTGCTGTTTTGCTTGATAATTATGAATATTTTTAAATGCTAGTTGATAAATTAAAATGTATTTTACTTAAACTTATTAACAAAGAAAGGAAAATAGTTCTGAAGCATTGCTAGTATACTAGTTAGAAAAAAGTAAGTTTGTACTTAGGCTTTATTCAAATACACATAGGGAAAAAGAATCATTCAGTTTTCCTGGTTAAAGACTGCAGTTCAGTGGAAGATTCGTTAGGGTTGTGGTTAAAGGAATAAATCAGAGAATCAAAGAGAACCTAATTATCTTTAAAGTTCTGTAAGAACAGTTACTTTAGCATGTACTCTGCATTTGCTGTTCCAGTAACTAGTGCAAAATTGACCTTTTTTAAGCATAAAACATTCAGCTTAATTGAAGTTTTGTTTTTGTTTTTGTAGAAAATGAATTCTGACTTTGTGATACATGTTATGTTGTATATTTTATCTTTGAGATATTTTCTTAGTGCTTACTTTTCTGTACTGAATGCTTTCTCTAGATAGCATGGAGAACGTATCATGAAATAAATTTCCCTTTTCCTTTGTATTTTCCAAATTTTTTTCATCTATTTAATTTATGAATAAAATAGAGAAAAGTATGACTTTCACTGCCTTTTATTTTTATTTAAGATGTAATTTTCTAATAACATTGCCCCATAAGTAATAGCATGGAGGTGGTGATACTTAGCTAATAAGATATGAAATATAAAGTGAGAAAAAATCACTAATAAAAGTCTCATTTATAAAGATAAAATTGCTAATGTATGCAGTTTACTTTATTAACCCATTGCTATATAGCTCATAATTTTATTATTAGTTTAAAAGCACTTTAAAATTACCAATTCTTCTCTGTTGATCTTGCTAAATCTTCGCCCTAGACTTTGCATAATGTTTTTGCTTCTTGACTTCCTTGATGTCCTTCTCAATATTTCTTACCTAAGTGTTTACCTAGCCTTTACACACTACTTCAGATTCTGACTCTTCTCCTTGCTTCCTATTTTCTGTATGAAAACAGTGATACTTCTTACTAGTGTTCTGACTGTGTATTCTCAGATGCCTCTTTCCCACTTGTCTGCTCCATGGTTTTTCTTAGCCTCAGTAAATCCAAGCCCGAATGGTTTCACTTACCCATTTCACATAATTTGGCCATCAATCCCAATGATAGTATCCTTGCATCATCTTTAGTTCTCCTTTCACAGAATCCCCTGTAACTAAACTGTCAATGTATTTTTGTTAACTTCGTATTTCTCTTTCTCTAGCTTCTCTGGTGTAATGGTTAGTGTTGTAATTTTTCTTAGCAACAGTTGTCAGCAGTATTTAAATAACCTTTACTCTTAAAATATAAAGATAAAAGTTTGTGCATATAATTTTGTCCTGTGAAGCTTGAGGGGAAAATGAGTGCCTTGAATAGGGGTCTTGCTTCATTCATCTTGTATTTCTAACACAGTTGCCTGGCCATATAACAGATAATTAAGAAATGTTTTTTGAATCAACTGCCCAATAACTAAAGGAAGCGCTTTTCTTAGTTCTGTGTAGTTATGTGAAATGAAAGATCAGTTTGGACACAGCTAATTTTAAAAAAATCCTTTTCATTATAGAATTCAGTGTGTTTTCTGTTATTTAAAGCTATTCTCTTGGTTCTTTTTACAAAATTGATTTGATGTATGAAACATCTTTTCCCATTCTTCTTAGGGTTTGGAAGGAAGGATGTCGTAGAGCACTTACTGCAGATGGGCGCAAATGTCCACGCTCGTGATGACGGAGGCCTCATTCCGCTCCATAATGCCTGTTCTTTTGGCCATGCTGAGGTTGTGAGTCTGTTACTGTGCCAAGGAGCTGATCCAAATGCCAGGGATAACTGGAACTATACACCTCTGCACGAAGCTGCTATTAAAGGGAAAATTGACGTCTGTATTGGTAAGTATTATTTGATAATATTTAAATTTTAAGCAAAGCTTGATGTATAATTTTAAGTAACAGTTTACTCTTTTTATTGTGAGGTAATTTGTGTTCACTCAGAATAGGTGAAGGTTTATTGCTTCTTAAAGGGAAGTAGAGAGATGGTAATCTAAAGTTAGTAAAGAACAAGATTTACAGCATTAACTTTCCAGATGCAAGCCAGAAAACCAACTAGTGTGGAACTAAATTTTGATGAATTGCTGTGGTCAAACTTAATTAATTTATATAATCTCTTTATTAAAAAGCTGTACAATTTCCATCCTTGCTTCAATGAGAGCCATTATAAAGTATGAATTTTTACTCAGTTGGATGACATACGAGAATACCATAAGTTGATTGAAAAAGTCACCTAATAAAGACAGAGGCCTTTCTTTATATTGTTAAATTGAATACCAGCCAGTGTATTAATATTGGAGTACGTGTTTAGAATCTAATAGTTCAAGGCTTAATATTTTCAACATGTGCCATAGAGAAAACAATTTCTAATCAAATTGAACTTTTCAACCATTTCAAATAGGTCAAATACATGAATTTTTATTCAGTCAGCATTTCTTTCTCAGATACATGTATTTGATCTTTGGTTTTATTGTATTAAACTTTTTATTTTGAGGGCCAGGGATTTAGCTCAGTGGTGCCACTTCCTGCATTGCAAGCACAAGGACCAGAGTTCAATCCCCAGTACTAAAAAAAAAAAGATTTTTATTTTGAAATCTGAAACAAGCAAGCCTTTAGGGAACAAGCAGTTTCTTCTGACTTGATCGCCTGTTTCCTGATACCCAAGCTGATAGATGTTTGTTAAGCCAGTGACAGATTAATTTGCATAATCCTTGTTCTCCCAGATGATATGCATTTCAATATAATTCATTGTTTATGCTAAAACTGAAATATGTCATTTAAAAAAAGTTGTACCATTATTAAGACTTTCTCTTAATAGTGACTGAGTATTCTCTCCTCATAGCAGTCTTTCCAGCCTCCACTTATGTTTCTTTAGTTTCCTTCAGATTGCTGCAATCAGTTCTTTATCTCTAATCCTAGTTTTTTTGAGGGATCTGTACACTGATTTCTACAGTAACTGCTCCAGTTTACATTCCCACCAACAGTGGAGAAGGGTTCCTTTATTCCCACAGCCCCACCAACATTTGTTGTTGGTTGATTTCATGATGATACCCATTCTTTGTAGAGTGGGATGGAATTTCAACATTGTTTTAATTTGCATTTCCTCAGTGACCCAGTGATGTTGAATATTTTTTCATATATTTATTTGCTGTTTGTACTTCTTCATCTGAGAAGTGTGTGTTAATCTCATATACCCATTTTTAGATGGGTTAAATTTGAAAGAGTCTGATTTTTTTTCAATTCTTTATATGTTGTAGATATTAGTCCTTAGAGGAACAACTAAAATTTTTTCCTACTCTATGGGTTGGTTGTCTTTTCACTCTGTTGATGATTTCTTCTGCTATGCAAGAACTTTTTAGTTAGATAAGATCTCAATTATTGGTTCCTTGCAATATTTCCTATGCAATTGGGGTTTTGTTCATAAAGTGTTTACCCATGTCTTCAAGAGTTCCACTTATTCTCTCTTCCACAGATGTAGTGTTTCTATTTTAATATTTAGATCTTTGATCCATTTTTATTTTAGTTTAGTGCCTGGTAAGATACATGGGTCTAATTTTAGACTTTGTCATGTGGAAAGCCAATTATCCCTGCACCACTTATTAAAGAGGCTATCTTTTGTCCAGTTAAGGTATTTGGTCCCTTTGTAAAAGATGAAGTGGCTAAGTGTGTTTGGGGTTGTTTCTGTGTCTTCTGTTCCATTGATGCTTGGGTCAGCTTTTTGCCAGCACCATGCTGTTTCTATCATAATAGCTTTGTAATTTAATTTCACCTCAGGGATTGTGATGTCCCCTGTGTTGCCTTTGTTGCCCAGAATTGATTTTGCTATTCCAGATCTTCTGTTACCAAATGAATTTTAGGATTGTTTTCTCTAGTTCTGTGAGGTATGCTAATGGTATTTTGATTGGGATTGCATTAAATCTGTATAAGTTTTGGGAATATGTCTGTTTTCACTGTGTTGGTTCTTCCTGCCAAAGAGCAAGGGTTCTGTTATCCTATTTGATCTCCTTTTTCAGAGTACTGTAATTTTCAATGTAAAGAGCTTTTAATTCCTTTGTTAGATTGATTCCTTTTCCATGCCATTTTGAAAGATGTTCCTCTAATTTCTCTCAGTGAGTTTGTTAATTGTGTACAATAATGCTATTGATTTTTGAGTGCTGACTTTGTATTCAGCTACAGAACTGAATTTGGCTATTAAATGTAGAAGTCTAGGTGGACTTTCATCTGTGCCCCATTGGTTGTTCAGAACGGTGTTACTTAGTTTCCATGTGTTCATGGAGTTTTTAATAGTTTCTTTTGCCATTAGTTTCCAATTTCATTGCAAGGTGGTCAGATAATGTGCATGATAATTTCAATTCTTTTGCATTTACTTAAGCATGTTCTGCAGCCTAGTATGTGGTCTGTATAGAGAACATCCCATGTGCCACTGAGAAGAATATGTATTCTGATGTTGTGGGTTGGAACACTGTAGACTTCTACTAAGACCATATGTTCACAGGTTTTGTTCAGTTCTCAAATTTGTTTTTTGCTTTTTGTTTTTTTTCTAGTTGATCTGTGTATTTGAGACAGTGGGGTATTAAATTCCCCCTTTACAAGTGTGTTAGTGCTTATTAGATTTTTCATACCTATTAATATTTGTTTTATATAGTTGGGTGCAGTGGTATTTGATGCCTAGGTATTTATTTATTTTTTCTTCTTTTTGGAGTATTCCCTTAACAAGTATCTAGTGACCTTGTTTATCTCTTTTTAATCCGTCTTGGTTTGAAGTTCACATTGTCTGTAAATAGAATACCCATCCCTGCTTTTTTCTGGGTTCCTGTTGTATGTGGTATTGTTTCCCATCCTGTGATTTTCATCTGTGAATTTCTTTTTGAGTTAAACATAATGTTCAATCTGGTTTCATGAATCCATTCTGCCAGTCTTTTTGTAAGGGGGGGATTGGTGAGTCGAAACCATTTACATTGATGGTCATAACTGTTATGAATTGGCTTATCTTTGTCATATTATTTTCTTGCTGTTGATTCCCTGACTTTTTCCTCTGTTTAATTGCTTGCCCTGCCTAGTGGTTTCTTCTTATTGGAGTACTTGTAATCGTGGTCTTCCATATCTCTTTCTGAAATATCCTTCAGAACATTTTATAGAGCTGGTTTGGTGTTCATGAATTTCTTCAGTTGTCTTTTGTCATGGAAGTATCTTATTTCTCCATTAATTTTGAAAGAGTTTTGCAGGATGCATCAATCTGAGTTGGCAGTTGTTTTCTGTCAAGAACTGAAATACACTGGACCCTTGACTTATGAACTCAGTTCATTCTCGAGCTAGTTGTAACCCCAGTTGATCAACTGAAGGCTCAGAGATGCCTTTTGGGTGTAGATGCTTCTTGGTCTTTGTGTCTGTCCCAAGATCCTGCCTTCCCATTTTATTAAGGACGAGAAGTTGCTATCTATTTGCTTAGTACCCAGTCCTTTGGTACTAGACTATGGTAATGGTTATGACTCCAATCACAGCATTGTCATACAAGGCAGAACAACTGATTATAACAGGTATGTCATCCTGGATTAAGTAGTACAATTAGCAATAACAGTAGCATCGAGCACAGCCTAGAAAATGACAAACTGTGGTAACTATTAATTTGGTGCCTTTAACCATAGGAGAAAAATCTGTAGTTATATAACGTGGTACAGCATAAACCAAGACCTTGTATCAATGAGTTTCTCCTTAGTAGAGTGATTTTCCCTTTTAGGAGGGTGGGGTTAAGAGGGATAGGGTACAAAAAAGAGAAAAATGAAGAGAAATGTAGTAGAAGCAAGGCTGGAGGACAAAAGGTGATCACCCAATCTTTGGGAAACAAGGAAGCAGGATCTCTTCCATTCTGAGGAGAATGAAGGAGAAAGCAAAAGAACTATTGAAGTGAACATTCAAGAACTATTGAAGTGAATATTGAAGTGACAGTATTCACTCACATGAAAATATCAGAATTAAGAGAGATAGTTGAGGAAAGGAAGAAAACAAAAATAAAGGTTAAAAACCTAAATAACCAAAAACACAATAAAGCAAAACAAAACAAAACACCAACCAGACAGAAAAAGGAAACAAAACAAATGAACAAAGAAAAAAATAATAAAATTCCTCGGGTGTCCACAGTTTTGTGGTAGTAGCCAAGTCAGAGCCCAAAACTGCTGTTTATCTCCATCAAGTCTGCAGTGGGATTAGTGCTGGAAACAGGGCTTGTCTTGGCCTCTGGATGTGGGTCCTGGGTCTGGTCTTCAGCCAGCAACTTTCTATATGTCCTTTGGAGGCCTGCCCACATCTCCTTACTATGATTATCTCTACATGACTGCCAGTTGCTGTGGTGTGCTCAGGCTGGGGCGACCTGGACTGTTCCCAGTCTTGTGTATAGTTGTCTCTTCCTTTGCACAGCCTCCTCTCTTCCACCCTATCTATCCTATCACACCACTTGTCAGAGGCCAAGGTGCGGGGGCTACTGTTGCACCCACAGATACAGTCAAAGGCTGCTTGGCTCCTCTTCAGTCTCCTTTCCAGAGGATTGAGTGCTGACCTCCATGGATGTTTAAATTCCCTGAATCTGTGTCTCTCTTCAAGTCACTAGTCACCACTTGCTTCTTTCACCACCTCTGCTATGCTGCAGTTCCTAATTTTGTTGTCACTAGTGGTGCCAATTAGCTGCTAGGGTTCGTCTAAAAAAAAAAAGCTTGCAGCTTGTTCAGTGGGGAGGGAGTAGTTTCCTCGTCTCTGGTCCTTGTGTGTGCTGGTAAAATTTACTGTCAGGCTGCAGTGTACACTGTGTGGAGTAAGGTAAGAGGCAAAGGGCCTTATATCCCAAATCT